CTGATAAAGAAGGAACAAGAAGCTATAACAAAAAGTCGGATAGATGCTCTAGAATCAAAAATTAAATATCAATGCTATAATCATGCAGAAGAACTTGAGAAGTATAAAAAACATATTGGTGAATTATCTAAACAATTATGGCATGTAGGAGATAAATTAATAAATGAAAAACAGGAAAAAGAAAATATAATTAAGAAGTTTCAAGATATAAAAACGAATTATAAAAGTAATGAAATTCAAAATAAAAGATTTATGAATAATGAATTAGATTTAAATTATTCTCTTATAAAATCTGAAGCAGGTCATAACATTTTGCAATCAGTTGAAAGTGATTCTATTAACAAAATTCATAATCTTAGAGATTTTCAAATAATGGGAAATGCATTTAGTACTGAAGATGAAGAAGGAGAAGTATTTGATACAACATATATTTCTGATATGCAAAAATCTCGCAATCTATCTTCATCGCACGATTTAAATAGATTATCTATTTTACAAAACAGAAATGCTAAATGTAAACCGCACCTAAAATCAGTATCATCCTACACCTTTTACTGAAGATGAAATAAAAACTGGATCTACTTCAGAAGAATTATTTAATAATAGCTTAAGTCAAAGTTTATTGACAGGTAAGAAAGTAAAATGGAAAGATCGAACTCGAAATGCTACAGACACTCCACGGCGAAGTCGTAGATTTAGTAACATTTTCCGTAAACACCGTTTATCAACAGAACACAAATAATATTAAATAATTTCTAAATTAATTTTTTATAAAATCGCCGTTGTATCATAAATATCATGAAATTATTTGTCCATAATAACATAATCAGAATCAAATTTCAAGAAATGTAAAACTTGACTCATGATGTAAATTGTATAAATAGCGTAATATAAGAAGCATTAGATTATGAAATGTTTGTATAATTTTTTAATATTATTAATATTCTTAAAATAATTTTATGACAAGAAATTGTAATTAACTTGACATTATGCATGGCTTAATTATTATTCCACATTTTAATATAATTTGTATTTGTTTATCTGTTTTGCTGAAATTAAATTAATTATCTTTTAAATACACAATTTATATATAAATTTATATAATGTGCAGAGTTAATTAATGATTAATAAAACTGGAAAAAAATTATTTTCTAATTGTTGAAATATTTTAATAATAATGGGCTTGCAAAACTGAGATGAATAATTGATTAAAGATTCCACTGTTAATGAATTATTGAATTATAAAATTATTGAATTATGAAATTATTATTTTATTAATTTCTTAAATTATATTATAATTATTTAAATATAAAACCACATGTTAATAAATTATTCTATTAGAAAAAGTATTTCAATTATTGAGAATCCTTAATCTATTATTAATTTTAATTAAAACTTATATGAAAATAAATAATCAAATATTCATTTATTATATTATATAATATATTATATATTATATTAATATAATATATTATATTCATTTATTATAATATTATATGTTAATAAATAAAAAACTATGTAAATCAAAATTTAACAATAACAATTTTAACCTGTTTCAATATGTGAAATTAAATGAATTTGGAAAAAGTGTAATGACAATAAAAAGGCTATTAGTATGGTGATTAATAATTAAAAATATAAGCATAGTTGTATATGTGAACGTGCGCGTGCGTGGGTGTATATATATACATAAGAATTAATAATAGAATTACAAGATTTAATAAAAATAAACTGTAAATACAATATAATAAAATTATTAAAATAATGAAAAATATAACTTTTATAGAAATTTATTTAAATTTTAATTCACAATATCTATATCAGAGAAAATATATTTTTAATTCTATTATATTGATATATATTAACATTTCTATCATATTCTATAATATTTTTATAAAAATCTACAGTTTTTTTTATATATGTTATTATTTATTAGACTGTTTAGATTAAACTTAAGCATAATTGCAATATTTTTCCATAAATATCACTATGCCTTGTTCTGTTTTATATATGTTTCATAGAAATAGTACAACCATCTATGAAAACCGAAGCTTGTGACATACTTTCGTTTGCAAATATCTTGATACATAAGAGTATGTAAAATTTATTTTCTGTATATTAAAATCCTTTTAATAATTGCAAATACGTATATTTTATTAATTTATCAGGTTTTCCTAGAACGTTTTATGTTTTTCAATTACAATTATTTATAGTAAATACAAGCACATGCTAATTTCATATTAAGTATGATAGTATGTATTTACATATTATTGTAATTCAATTTTTTATATTCTTATTAAAATTAAAAAGCACACGAAGATTTATTACAGAAAATTATATCAATGAATTATTGGAATTATTAATAATTATTCTTATTTATTTGTTTTTCTGTAATAATTACTATTTTACAAAAAGAAAAAAAAAAGTTACTTCTTACAAGGAGTGTATCAATGAATTAGCTTTAAAATCATTAAAAAATAATGTAATATTTTGATATCAATTATGCCATCGATAATGATCAAATGTTAATATTTTAATATTTCAGTTAATTCTTTTCAAATACAATTTCAAAGACACTTATTGAATGAAGTTTGAATCGTCATTATAAATTAACAAGACATGGTTACTTCGATCCCATACCTTTTTGAATTTCTTTTAATATTTTATACCTATATACAAAATTTACAACAAACTTTCTTTTAAGAAAATTCTTTTAAGAAACTACTTTTAATTTTTTTACTTTGTGAAATTATTGATTAAGTACTTAAATTTGAATGTAACATCAATACTTATAACTTTAACAATAAATTTTTATTTTATTTTTTATGAAAGTTTTGAGTACACAGAAAAAAATATCAAAATAATGTGGAGATAAAAGAATTATTATTGGAACTATTAATACAAGTTTGGATTTTATGATCACAGTTTAAAATATTTGGATGCAATAATTTTAAGATTTAAATTCTTTGAATAAAAATAACAAAAAATAAAATGAAAATACCTAAAATTCAAATAAGATCTATATTTCATATTATTTATTTTTGTAAATTAATATGATCCATTACATATCATTTAAAAAATTTCTAAAATTTCATTTATTTGAATAATTTGAAATAAAAATTAATGTAAATATTATTTGATATATGCTTCATGTAATTTAGGCAAAAAATATATTAATTTAGAGTTTAATATGATTATAAAGATGTTTAAAATTTGAATTGAAGTTATACAACCGTAATAATTGTATTAAATTGATGCTATAAACAAATTCTCGTATTCATGCTTTGCTATACCTGTGATACAGTAATTCAGTAATATTTAACATATAAAAAATTATAATTTGTTATAAATTGAATTACTAAATCTATTTTCATTTAATCAAGTAAAATTCAAAATAATTTATTTCAATTCTACTTCGATTACGTCATTATCATTTTATTATTTTTATAGTTGATGTATATTCATTTAAAGAATTTTTTAGTAATAAAATAAAAAAATAATTCAAAAATTTCAAATAAAATACTATAATTCTCTATGTAGTGGAAGATTGTTAATTATACTATAACGGTTCCTTTTATTTAGTATTTGCAAGATTTTTATAATTGTTTTTTAGCCAACGTCATCGCCTGAATGATACTGGCCAACAGCAAGATTTGATAAGAAATACATGGCAAAATAATTAAATAAAATGTATATAAAAAGTAAAATAATCTCATTTAAAATTAATAAATCACTGCATTTACTAAATAAAACAATAACAAAAGCGTTTATTTATTAATAATAACTATTAAATAATAGTCTATAAAAGAAAAAAAAATAACGATAACAAACCCTTCAAAATTACTCATATTAATTCTTAACTTACAAAATACTGGTTACCTTCGGCGCACCACATTACTTTTATGGTATAATAAAAAAGCGGAGCAAGGGAAAGTAATGGAATTAATATAACATAATCATGCTATGTTGTATACTACAATAAAGGATCTGATTATGCATTTTCTGTCTCAGTGGATAACAATAACTATAGACAATTGAAACTTCTAAAATGTAATGACTGCAAAATAATGTTGACCATGGAATGTTTAAAAATTTCAGTATGTTTTCTACTCTGCTTTTTTCCTATTATGTTAATAAATATTAATACAATTTTAATTACGAGTTAACAAAAATTACTAGATTCAATGATTCTCTATATCTACATCTGACCTTGATTAACAGTTGTTAAAGATTAAAGATTATAATAAGAATAAGTACTGAAACTGTCGTAAATGCTAGTTTAACTAATAGCAAATACATGGACTATACTGATCAATTAACACTATGCCACAACTTATATAATCCAGTATAACACAAGTCAATTCAACATATGCCTTGTTGCTTAGGTATTGCAGTTTTATTTACCAGTAAAATTGATAAATTATTTTATATAGTCAAGCTATTATAAATTATTATACATAATGAATAAGTTTTGATGGATTCATATTATACTTTATAATGACGACTGATATAAGAAATTAATTGCTTGTTAACGCATATAAAAAAAAGATAATTACTTTGTACTGATAAATATTTGTTTATCCACCATGGTAGAACAACCTTTCTTAAATGCTTTAAACAGGTTCATAAATATTAATAGGTATTATGGCATAGCAATATTAGTTTCACTACAAATCTAATTGATTTCATAAAATCATTATATAGTACAATTTATATTGATTAAATAAAAATATTACAAATTTTATGTTAAAAAGATTGTGTTAATAAATCATTAATGTAAGATATTTATGTATAATTATTATAAACATGGGACAATGAAATAAACAAATTTCTCTATGTATAAATTAATTTTTTTATAAAATCATATTTTACTGTAAAAAATAATAATATGCGATACATTCGTGTATATATATATAAGCATATTTAAAGTAGATACAATACACAATACACAAAGTACAATTATTTGTTTTAGTCACAGCCATAAATTATTTTAAATGAAATTTCTTTTCAATAAAAATTACGTATTTTATATTTACTTTGTTCTTATAATTTACAAATAACAATGGCCTTGATTTTGTAAACACCACTCAGGTTCTAAACTATCAGCCAGAATGCCTCGCTGTACAAGCCTCTCTCGATGTTTTAACATTCGTTGTTCTGCATGAATCCACGATGAAGATGGATCTGACCATAAACGTTCAGCTAATGCTGCAGAACGTGGCCATAATCTTGAATCCACAGACGTACTATCTACTTGTTCTGACCACAAGGCAGCCTCACTGCCTGAAATTCATAAATGATCAATGACAATTCAAATATTTAAAAAAATATTAAAATAAATAATTATGTGATTACAGATAAAATTATTTTTTAATATTGATAGATTATATTGATATTAAAATTAATTGAAATATATTCATAATGAAAATACGAAGTTAAAAATTATATTTTTATATTAAAATTTTGAATAAACTTAAGATCAATTGAAATCTGCTTTAAATATTTTAAGGAATATATATTACCCAGTACTAAATGTTTATGTTTTTTAGAAAATCCTTGATTTTCTAAGATTTTCATTGGTGAATTTTCATAAATATTTTGCCATGCTTTATATGGAGCACACCAATTATTACCTTCTCCAATCCAAGCACCAAATCTAATATAATAAAAAAATTAATTTTATTATTAAAATTTTTAAATAATTTTCAAATTAAATACATTGATTTTAAAATTATGAAAAAGATATCTTACCCACAGTCTAAATACAATGCATCATAGTTAGAAAAAATAACTCTAAAGTCATTTTTAATCAATCGACCTATTGTATTATCAGTTTTGGTTGTCCAAATTTGAATAATATATTTTTTGGGATCAAGAAACTGAAGATTGTCTTCGTTTGTAAGACCACTAGTCCACAAAATGACAGGCAGCTTGTTTCCATTATTTGCTTTTATTAATGTTTCATAAGCTTTTGATTGGAAATAATTCCAAAGTTTATAAAAACTTGTTTCAGAAAAATCGAGGCCATGATCGATCATCCAATCTTTAATTAAATTGGATGAATTCCAGCATTTGATACTTACTTCATCACCACCCATATGAAAGAAATCAGGTTGAAAATCTCGCAACATATCAGTATAAATTCCTTCAAGTATCTCATATACTTTTTCACTTGTTGGATTTAATTGTCCACACGGTGGTTCAACACAGTACTGTTGCCAAGGCTCTGCTTTAAAACACACTGTAGAGTTGTGCCCTACCTATATTATTTAAAAATAAATTCAGTATAAAATTATTATCTATTAGATATTTTAAATATATTTAAATATAACAAATTTTCAAATAATATTGTAAATTAAGATCATTTATATGCTGATATAATAAAAACATTTGTGACTAATTATAAATCTAATCGTAATTAATCACATATCATTTACTTTATAATTTAAAAGAAATAAATAACCATTTACTTAATATCATAATTTTCACAATTATAATACACACATGTGCAGAAGCCAAACGAATAATGTTTAAAATTAATGATAAAAGAAAGTATCGATCGAATTACTTAATAAAATGCTGATATATCCTTAAAATTTTATAATAAATTTAGATATAAGAATTTGTCAAAAAAAATATAAATATAAATGTATTCAGAAAAAAATCATCAATAACTATAAGTTATATAACTATAAATTATTTTTTATGGAAATAAATACGTTGCTACATTCTTTTTTTTTTAATAAATATATTAATGTTGAGAGTTATCAAGGACTAGCAGCTTCATATCTCAGATTTTAATCTTTTATTTATTCCGTCTAATAAATACTTATTATTTTTCGGTTTCACGTAATAAGAATATTTATTTTGTATAACACACTAATGTATAATGCAATACAAGAGTGGTGTGTGTCTATACATTATAACGAATATTTAAATGAAAATATATAAATAGTGTAATGTATTTACATGTGTAGAGAGAGCATTATTAGCATAGCAAAAATATCATTTTATTGAATTTAGCTATTTTCTCTTATAATCCTCGTATATTACTTTTTCTTCAATGCACGATATACTAGATCAAACAAAATTTTTCTTATTTCTTTCCAGAATTACATATTGTAAGACGTAAACAACTACATTTTGGCAGATTTTTTTTCTTTTTCATTTTTATGATTTTTTTTATTCATTTTATTCCTTTTTGTTTATGCCAATCGCAGTTTTTGTTTAAATAATGAAAGCTTAAGGCTACACATAAATGCTGTTCTTTTCTCTTTCACAAATAATATGTTATATGAATAAAATAAACTTCAAAGTCGAGATTTATCCGAAAAAAGTAAAGAAGATTATAAGAAAATGCAAATTAAAATCTATCCTAATGGTCGATATAATTATGGAGTATATAAACATAAATTTAGAATAAAAGAATCTACATGAATTATGTGTATTACATTAAATATTTCATCTTTCTGAAAAAAGCAATAAATAAGGTGCGGTATTTGAAATTTCAATCGCATGCATGTAGACTCCAATTTATACCCATCTATATATTTGTTGTATTTTTAGAAATTAAACTACAAATTTTAAAAATAAACTAAAGTAATTTACATCTTGGAATGTGAAATTGTAATAAAATAATTAAAACTATTAAATTACATAATGTATTAAAGTAACACTATGAAAATTGGAATACTTTATTTTTACGGTGTATCGCTTATATTTCTCGCTATTATTATTGTTCAAAATTATATTTAGAATTATTTAATAACTGTTAGATTTTTAGAAATTGAGAATATGAAAATAACGTTTGATCTAAATTTTAATGTTTTAGGAAATTTTTCGCAAAAGTTTATCAACTTTATCAAAATATTTATTTACCATAAATTTTCAATATATTGAATATATATAGTATAAAAAAATTGCATGCCAATTAAATAATAAAAAAAATTTTAATCATTACTAGCTTTAAAACTCATTATTTGTATGTAAAGTGCTTTAAAAGAATGCACAATTTATTTAAATTACTTGAAACATGTTTAAAATAAAATTAAAATTTCACTAATTTTTTTATTGTAAACTCGAAAATAATAAATAGCTTCCTAAATACCCTACACTTTGTCAAAAAATTACAATATTTATCAAAGATACATGATAATAAAACTTTAATATAATAAAATTGATATTTATATTTTTCATACAAATAATTTATTATAATTTGAATAGCAAAAAATTAAAAGTATATCAAATAGGGATAGCACACGCTAATCCAATTTGCTATTGATTGAAATAGTTAATCGAAATTGCTAATGATTGAGATAATTAAGTTCCGTAAATTGTGAAATTCCTTTTAATACAACTTGAAACAAGTAAAAAGTTTGACATATGCAAATAACTGAAGAAGATAACCCCTTCCAAAAACATAAGATAAGTTCTTCAAATATAATAACTTTTTTGGAATGGGCTTTCATTATGGCGGATAGAAGATAGACGATGATAAATTTCTGATTACATATTATTTGATCATTCCAAATAGAATTACTATTCCAAAAATTGGAATTACTTGCAATTTTAATAAAAATATCGAAACATAAATTCATTTATTCAAACGATTATTTAAAAATTAAAGTATTTCGACAATTTAAAAACAATAAAATAAAAACTAAAAACAAAAAAATTAAATACAAAAATTTATAATTAATAGAATGGAGTTCTTACGTCATGTCTTAAAGAATTATAGGAAACATGAAAATTTTACAGAAATTAGAAATGATATTAACAAACTTTTCAAATTATAGAAGATTATAGAACTATATTATCTATATACATTGGAAACAATAGCACAATACTTTGTATTTACCAAACTAATAATTAATAACATATATAGGAAGAGAAAGAATATTTAAAATATATTTAATTTGTATTAAATCAACGTTAATACTAAACAATATTACCCATTGCCATCCTTCTCCAATGTGAGCGGGTGCATCAAATTCTGGTATTACACGAACGCCATTGAGAATACCAAAATTAATTATTTCTTTAATATCTTTTTCTGTATATATTTTTGCAGAAGAATAAGCGCCATATCTGGGCATATTCGGCCATGTTCTACTCGAATAAGGGAAACTGTGAGAATCCGTGATATGCCAATGAAAAGTATTTAATTTAGACATTGACATAGCTTCAATAGTACGGAGTATTGTTGCTTTATCTATAAAGTTTCGAGCTGTATCCAGTAAAATTCCACGGTATGGAAAAACTGGTCCATCTTGAATATATACATCACGAGTAATTTTTATTTCTCCATAAAGATCATCATAAACAATTAGTTGAGAAAGAGTTTCTATTGCATGACGTATTCCAAAATAAGTAGCACTAGATATATCTGCATAAAGCTAAAAAAATAATTTGTTCAATCTGTTAATAATCTTGCGGCTATCCATAAACTTTTAATAAAAAGTACAATAGTATTCAAATACGCGATTTTATTTTCTACATAGTTGTAATTTATTAATTATACAAATTTAAAATATTATAAAGTAATTTATATATTCATTATTTGAACAATTTCATTTGAAACTGAATAAAAATACCTTATTATCTTTTTGATAAATATTGATTGTGTAATTTTCGGATGTGTTTATAGTTAATATAGGTGCTTCATTGTTAAACTGGCCAATAATGTTTAGAATTAAGCTATAACCTCCTTTTTTAATGGTATCAATGCTGGCTAAATTCATGATATTTTGTTTAAGTTTGTTAACATTTTCTTGTATAAGTTGTCCGGTGATACTTCCAAAATCAACACCAGAAAGCGTAATTTCATAGGGGTTTAATTTTGCCATATAGTTTCCGAATGAAGTATGACCTGTAGGCTTAGGCCATATTCCACCAACTTCTCCACAGAACAATTGACAGATACCAAGACATAAGGGTGATGTTACATTTTCTATTATTTCAGCCTTTTTGCAAATACCTGACTCACAATAATAATACCATGGCGATCTGTAATATAACAATAGTTACTAAAAGAAGTTTTAAAAACTTTAATTCAAGTGATTTTTACATTAGAAATATATTTAAGATAATTTTAATAATATATTTAAGATTTCAAAAGTTTATGATTTAAATAATTAACTCGTTATTTATTTAACAATTAAGATTTCCTATATTAATTTTCACAACCAATTTATACCAATACGCAATATTTTAAATCTGAATAAAATATATATTAGAATTTTATAATAGTAGAAAGACTTGTATAATATACATATAATATAACATACATCAAAAATATATAATTAAAACACGAATACATACATTTTTTTTAAAAGAAAGTAACAAGTATATTAGAGATAAGATAAGATAACTCAAATTAGAGATAAGATTTTACACTTATTATAAAATTACATTTTTGATTGTTTAAATAATTAATTACTTTGTATTATATTTTATTATGAAAATTTCTAAGTCACCGAACAGATTCTAAATAATAATTTTTCTATTAACTTAAAATAATTCAATTTATATTGAATTTATAATTTAAAGAAAGAACAATAACTAATTAATACTATAATAGATTATTATTTATTAAATAATACATATGATATTTGCATATTTCATATTAATTTTATTTATATATTATTAATATAATCGTTATTAATCACTTTTTAGTTTAAATTGTTGCTTAATATACAAATTGTGTTCGTGTATAAATTACTATATCATATTAATATATTACATATATTTATACTAGTAAGAAATTTAATATATAAAACATACAAAAAATTACTTTCAAACTCTTCGAGTTATAAATATAATAAACTTTGCATATTTAAATTATATATAATTTAAGATAAAATGTATTTATAACTAGCAATCGATTAATAAATAGAAAAATTTACTTATATTGGTATACATTTAATGTACTCGGTAAGGTGCACTAATTTGTAAATTATATCTAAAATATAAACAATTTATATTTGAAATAATATACAACGAATTATAACTTGCATATATTAAATCGATGACTATTATTTGCATTTATATTGATCGTTGGACATTATAAAAGCATCGGGATAGACAATAATCGCGATAAATTACAATTTCTGAGGAAAATAGCGGGAATAGCGAGATTGTACGAATCATTAATTTTTTAATAATAGAGATGTTAGTATAATTAAAATTTCATTTATATCTTATGGTATGACATACATAAAAAATTTGTCCCTAATTCAAGACAAAAATGCGTATTACATACTGCTATTTATGATTCTCTTACTCTGATTATTGATAGCCATCATTTATTTATATATTATGCCAATTATTTTTTGTCATGTCTAATTTATCTTAGCTCTAATGAGTTTGTAAACAGTCAGACTTGATATTGTATTTTATTTTCTTAAATATTCATTTATCTATCGGTTCAATGAAAATTATTACTTCAACAATAAACACTTTTAACTTTCGATTATCTTCTTTATGTAACTTAGAATTTTTCGTTATGTAATTAGATGTTTATTTTTATATGTATATCTGTTGTCCTTATTATTTTAGTTCTTTTTTTATTTAAAATTCAATCATTTTTATAATTTATGATTATCCGCGTTTTTTATTAGTTGTTATTAACCAATCGCTTTATTTTACATTATACTTTCTTAGTTATTATTACCTGCTTTTTCATTTGGTTCTGTCATGCATTAATATGACTCAACTATATAAGTACATTAAAAGATATCTAATATTCATATGTACCTATTTAACGCATGAACGTAGCTATTTCAAATGTTTTTATCGATTTATCATTTTTTTTAGTCCTTAACGTAAATATTACTTTATATATATTCGTGTAAATATTTTAAAAAACATTACTTCTACAGAGAATAATATTATTATTTTATTTAATTAAAATTAAATTTTTGTAACATTTGCTTTTTCTTGTTTGCATTGAAATTATATTTCAATAAATTTTTTAATTGTATCATAGGATAATTAATATAGCTAGGTATATGTTGCGCTTTAGTTTTATTTGATTACGGTCCTTTGCAAGATGGAACGTTTACTTGCCGTAAGGTATTTTACTTCTATTGAGCTTTTATATTTATATTATCTTGAACATATTTTCTTTTCTTTACTTATTTATTCTCCAATTTTATATTTACATAATTATGACGAATAAATGGATGTTGTGGAAACTAATTATACCATGAACATACGAGTACAAAATAACAAAAGAAAAAAAAATAGAAAATAAGATAACAGATACTTTTGATATACTTCTTTGATTTATTCAAATCTTATATAATAGTACTCTGTTGATTATCGTAACTTTGTCAACGTTTCCTAGGAAATGATCATACAAAAATTTTGTACGGAAGTAGATAGCACTTTTATCTAAAATATTAATAGCTAATTATGTTTGCTCATGTATTAATTTCTTTTAAATGTTAAAAATTGGTCGTCATAGCATCCATTTTTTAAAATATATCTGTTGAAAATAGATATTAAATATCCTTTGATTGATTTTAATATAAATATAACAATATAATTTTAATATTAAATTTAGTAATTATGATCAACCGATCTTTTCAAGTTAGTCATAGTTATCCATTATTCCATAGACACAAGATTTTTTTATACGTTCGAATATTTTTACAAAAATGTTGATTTAATATTAACGTTAAATTTTTATTTTAAATAGTTTAATAGTAAATAATAAAAAGAGTCACCTATAAATAGAAGAGTACAAAACAGGTAATAAGTGTTTTCATTCATAAATTATTAACTCAACTTATTTTTTTAAATAAACACGATTGTATTATAAAAAAAACGTTCAAAGCTATTATGAATGCATTTTCGAGATAACACATTTAAATAACAAAATTTGTCAAATTGAAGATTAAAATAAAAAGATTTTAATAAAAAGTTTTTTACAGGGATAGACAATTAAAATACAATGTCGTGAACTGAAATTTAACATTATAAATAAATCCATTACGGATAAACATAAATGATAATTTGTACTAATCAATATGCATTGATGTGTGTGAAAAGTACATTCTATTTATAAAAAAATTCTATGCAATGAAAAATATAATAGTTTAGCAAAAAATTAATTTTCAAAGTCTAAAATAATTTTAGTATTCAGTATTTGTATTTTTATTATAAATATACGAAACATACGAAATATGAATACAGAAAATGACAATAGGAATGACGACCACTTTAAATAAAATTTTGTAAACATTGAAAAACCTTATGTAAGATGTTGGTTCACAAATGCTGTATCAATAAGATGAATATATATTCACAGACGCGCGCGCGCACACAATCTATAAATTAAGCAATACTTGGTTACTACGAAAACATTGTATAAACAATGCATTAATTCTTCTATCTGTTTTATATCGCAATTAATTAAGTTACTAAGTAGTCATACTTTCCTCAAGTATATATTTTTATTTTTATTAATATCTTAAATGTCTTTAGTTCCATCTGCATAATAAACATTTTTTATACATTTTAAGTAATAATTAGCGTATATCATTAACTTTCTAAATTTATATATATTTAACTTTTTAATTGATACTTTTCATTTTATTACTTTTTCCATCGTATTTTTTATTAATCTAAATAATTTTTGTCATTTTTATAAAGGAATAACTTTAGTCATTCAATTTATGTATTTCGTTAAAAAAATATTATGTTATGTATAATTATAAAATATCTGTTTGCATTTTACGTACACTTTAAAACAAATATCTTTTACTATTGTTGCTATTTTTTTACTTCATATAAAATATTGATGTTCGTATTTATGTGCCTGTAGAGTATTGAATAAAACAAAGCGTAAAATTACATAGGATTACAGATGCGAACAAGCAATAAACATTTTTAAACAGTAAAAGTAAAATACTCACCCAGGGTTATTACTTGCTACACCTCCAAAAAATCTGACGAAGATCAAAAAAAATAAGACCATCATTATTACAGCGCTTGTTGCTACTAACAACTGCACGTGTCTACGTGGACCACGAATGCGCTTTCGACAAAATAACTTCACTATCCTTGCCTTCATTGCTTGTTAAGCAATGACGTAGTTGGAAGGAGGGAGTATAAGAGGGCCCACGTTCTTTACCGTTGCTACCAATGAGGTTTCATAGCTTATTAGTCTCAGAAATTCGAAACCTCTCCCCACTACATTTTGCAAATTCCCCCAATTCGTGATGCCGTTATTGCTGGAGCTCAAATCCTTGCAATACTTATTTTCGCGGCGTTTTTTACACGAAATCTATGATTGAAAGTGCCTAGTGAACAAAAAAAAAATAGAATTCTTGCTGTTCTACGATTAACTTTTACTAATGTGATTAATTTTCGAAAAATAATTATTAAAAATATTAAAAACTATATTAGAATGTTATGAATTTCCTTTTTTTTTTTATAAACTGTAATGAATATACATGTACTCAAATTATGGTGTTATTTTAAATGTGAAACATTATATACTATATGTTTATAAGTAAAAACAATATGCTTTTTGTTAATGTAATACTTTTTAAATGGTAGCTTGATCATACTATTAATAATACTATTCAACTCTTTTATTTAGTCCTTAAAGCAAATTTAAATAAAATCTATTAATTTATACGTTTCAAACTATTGTTGTACATAACTATTATTATACAACTTTATTAATTAATTAATTATACATGTGAATAAAAAGAAAATATTACATTTTTAAATAAAAATATAATAGGTATTATTTTCAAAATAATACTGAAAATAAAATAAAAACAATATATTCATATTAAATAACTTAATTAAGTATAAATTCATAACTATTAGTATACGTTCTGTCAATGTATAAGTTGCACTTTTTAAATTATTTATATGCTTTTAATTTGTTTGAAAGTAAAGTAACTAGTAATAAATTTAATATTCAGTTATTAAAAAATCTTTTATCTTAACTTTAATGCATTAATTTAGAATAAAAATATATTATAAATTGACATTTTGTTTCAAAAATAAAATTGGTTTATTAAATTAAATATTAAAATTTAAAATAATTCAGGAACCTGAATTGGATGAAATTATTTTAATTACAGTCCTAAAATCAGACTATATTTTATAATCGAATTGAAATATAGTAAAGGAAGATAAAAAATATTTTATCTTATTTGACAAATAGTTTTTGTTCTCAATAAATTACAATATAAATTTATATATATATATATATACAAAAATCTATTCCCTTTATAAAGTAATCATTTCTTATATATATATTGTAAGCAATAGAAATCTAGATTACAATTTTTTTTTAAATATATGAAATGATTACTTTATAAAGCTAACAGATTTTTATCCATGCATATGAAACTAATAAATATCTATATATGTATTTAACAATCTAAGAAAGTAATTGAAAAATGTGTAAATATTTTAATACAAAAACTTAATTATTTTACAAATTTATATTTAATAAAGTTTTAAATTAAAAGTAAATCTTACGCATATAATATGCAAATAATTAAAATAAATTTTCAAAAATTAAAAAGCAACTTTAATAAAATTAAATATTACATTATTCATCGCCTCGAATTGCTCTATACTTGGCTAATTCATTTGGAAATACACGATTTAACTCAACAAGCATGTTCGCTTTGAATTTCCTATAAGCATCTATCTTTCCTTTAACCTGCTCATTTTTTGTTAATGCTTTGTCAATGCAATCTTTTGTATATAATTGTGGATTTCTTCCTTGGTCGATATAACTGTAAAGAAAATATATATATATGATTAACATACTGAAAAATAGAAAGTATTTAAATATAATTATATGAAAATAAATATAGAGTATAAAGTTAATTTAAATATATTAATAATGATAATAAAACATATACTAACTCAAAAACTTCTAAAGGAACATGTACATCTTGTACTTGCGTTTTTAACTTATCAATTTCCTGTAGTCCAATTACAAGTCCTTGTCTGTAATAAAAAGAAGAAATTAACTGAAATTATTTATATTACGTAAATCGAGTAAATCAAATGATAATAAATAGGTGGTTTGTGGTACATAGAAAACATCGTAAACAAAAATATTCATTACCAAATGCAAACTAAAATTTACCCTTACATTTTCTGATTTAAAACGTTTTGACCTTGAGGTTGAAAATCACTAACTATAATACGTATTTGACGCACATTTTCAATAAATAATTCAAGCTGTGTTTCAAGGTTTTCCAATGCAGAAGCCATTTTGTCTAAGTATTATACTGCTTTATACAAATTAACCTATATATATATATATATATATAAGTTGCCATCATGTAGAATTTTAACATATAATGTGGCATCCTGATAATGTAAAAGAGGTAATAAACATAACCTTTAAAAACCTAAATATGATATTGTAATTAATATAATAAAATTTAATAACAGAAAAATACTGTTTAATCTATACTTTGATTACTGTTGTTAATACATTAGGTCGTAACAATATTATTAATATGCTTATAATTAAGATTGAATTTTTAACATTTATCTACACAAAATTGTAACAAAATAAACAATAATTTAAAAGAATATTATTTCTTTTACTGTAGTTTGCCTAAATAAATTTTCTTATTTCAATACTTCTACACGTTCTATTAACTAATCTTAAACGATCTGTATAATTTATGATATTTAATAAAATTAGTCAATTATAGGAAGACATTAGATACAACAATCAATTTTTTCATACCTTGGTTTTGTAATTTCTATACTATTTATAAACCTTATTGTTCTAATACACTGTTATATTTTTTATATTGTAGTAGAATTACATATATAAATAAATCTTTTATTATACCAAGATATTTTTAACCTGTTTTAAGATATTTATAAATTAATTTTAAATAAATTATACAAAACGTTATTATCACAATAACAATAAATACAAAAATTATCGTTTAATTTAATTATTGGAAGTTTATTATTATTTACTTATTAATATCATTTCTTTTAGTGGTTTATATAATTTAATTTATAATATATTACATTATTTTAATATTGCATAGACCATATATTTCTATATATATATATATATATATTTTTTTTTGTATTAAAAAAGAAACTTATAATTGTTATTTTCTATGATCCTCAAGTTTTTTATATATATTTATACAAAAATTAATATTTATACTTTTTTCAGGATTTTTTATTGCAACATGTAAATATATTGTTTTGTAATTTGTACCATCTATAATCCTCATTTAGATTTAATTTAAATTTTATACATATTGTTCAGTTTTGTAATAAGTAATTATTAATAATTTAAATTATATAATATTAAGAATTAAGTAGGAAACGTGAATGCTTATAATAATATACCTCTATGAAATTAATGATTATAAGATATGAAAATATTGATTTTCAAAACATCATTTAAATCAAATTTCAACATTGCATAGCCCACTAGATATAAGAATATTGTTACATTTAATGTATATATGCATATATATATTTTTTCAATTTACAAGTTATATTATAAATTAATGTGAAACTATAGAATAATAATTCTATTTACTGAATTAACCGAAATTTAGTAACCATTTACATATAAATGGTTTTTGTTTTTTATGCATTAAATATATTAGTCTATATAACTTAAATTATTTACAAGTAAAGTGGTATTGCTTTAATTACATATTATCTTATTACTGTCTTTACTGTTACAGAATTAATTATTCTCATCCTTAATTTAGTATATTTTTTATGGGTTTATGGTAGTAGTAAGTAATTAAGGTATTATCGCTATGAAAAGTTTTACAATTTAAAAGCTGTGAATTTATTACTATTTATTAATATGTATTAAATATGTGCTATATAATAAGTGACATATAGAAATGTAAAATTTATAGAATAATCTTTGTAATAAATACATTTCACATTTATATACTTGTTTAAAGCATCGAATTTCAAGAAATGAATCTGAGGTCAAATTATATATTACAGTGTTAAATTTAATAATTAATTCAATAAATTAAATCTATAAATTAATTTTTGCAAATTCTTGAATCATAACAAGTTTTTGCAATGATCTTTGTTTCACATGACTCTAATTTGGTAATATATTTTCATAATATATATTTATACATATACTAAAATTTAAAAATAATAATAAAAGTTTTCTCATATCTGGTGTTTAATATATTACATATCATTTCCGAAATTTCTGAAATTTCTTTATGTAACTGCAAAATACCTTATAAATAAAAAAATGAAAATAAGATAATTATTAGTAAAGAATTTTGGCTGACTTCTATATTAATATCACTTTCATACTTATAACATTTTTATTCTAAATTTCTAAAGACTACTTCTTTATTAGGTTACAACCATCTGCAAATTATTTTATAAAACAAAGTTAATATTAATGATTTTAATTCATTCAAGAATAATTTCTTTTAAAATTTATTGGTATTTCTTAAATTTTATGTATCATTCGCACAATTAATTTTAAATATTAATAAATTAATCAATATGTGGATTATGAAAATTCATATTCTAGGGGTTGATCATTTCCGGTAATTCTAGATTTGCTAATTTGGTGTTTTATCCATATAATAATTATTATATAAACATTAAATTATTTACCAATAACATACTACAAAAAATGAATCTTACTTTTTAGATTTGCTCTTGTTTAAAATATTTAATTATGAGAATTTTGTTTTAAATATATTGGTAATACAATTTTTATTCCTTATAATTATAAGTAGTAATATAGAGTATATTTTGTAAAGTCCTAGGATTTATGTAGCATTTCTTCTATCGAGCTTTTTTTTTCATATTTATTTTAAAGTAAGAAACTGGATACACATGAGCTTTCTCTTTAATCTGGAGAGCTTAAGGTTCGACTGAAGTATATTATAAATTACGATAAATATCTTAACATATAAAATTAACTATATCAAATGAATATTCAAATTTATAAATATTTTAATTACAACAGTAATCTTACAAATTTATATAAATTTATACGTCATTTTATTCTTAAGAATTCAGCAATAATTTTGGATGTAATATGACCCATTGTGTAATCTGCACCCAATTAAATGAAATTGAGAATAATGTTCAGAATTAATGGAATATATTAAAACACTCAAGAACATAAGAAAACTTTAAAATAGACTTGAAGAAACGAAATACGTTCTTCAAAAAAAATATTCAAATAACGAAGACCAAGATCAGAATCTGATTGTTAAGCGGTTATCTCTTATTTATAAGGAGCGCTAGATTTCA